AGCATGCTGCAAAAATAAAAAAAAAATATATTGCACAATAATATTCACTTGCAAACAAAAAAATAGGTCAGTGTAATTATTATGGCTATTTTTTTACTGAATATACTAAATATAATTATAAATATAATTATAAATATAATTATAATAACATAATTAAAAAACATATATTAATGTGATATTTTTTTAAATTTGAAGTGCGATTTTTCTTTAGTTTCAAATAGTCTTTTCGTACTTGCTACACTAATTTTATCGGTACATGGGAAACAGGCTTCCACTTCCGCAGAAGCCATAATCATTCGTCCTAATTCAAGTACAGAGGATGCATGACATTCTCCAACCGTGCCAGTCAATAAACGTAGACACTGTTCGATCAGATGATGCCTGTACGCACGAGCCGCGTATGACAATGGATCCGCTCGATTATTCTGTGATGTGAATTCGCTGTCAGATTGTTTCTTATACTGCCACTTTTGAGATGCCAAGAATTTAGCGCCTTCGTCGGTCATGATCCATTTCAATTTCGGGGGAACGGTGCAAGAGGATAGCAATATGCGTGCTTTACCCAGATAATATTTGTGTATGTATGGAAAAAAGGACTCTTTCAGACACAGTGCATTCATATAGATCTCTGCCAAAAGTGGTTTTGGCATACTCTCGCCAGCAGTTTCCGCGTAATTGACGGCGCAAAGAATAAGATATAATGTTGAATCTTTAGTTCTTTCAGACATACGAAGACAGAGCATATGCTGGTAAACGATAGCAATTTCCACGGCAGATGTCTCCGCCTGTTGCCGTTCTGATTTCTCCGACAACCATTTGCTAATGTGCATAACCCATCTACCCAGCCATAATTTGTGAAGAGTCTGCCGCACTATTTGCCACGTGGTTGCGAGAAAAACTTTGCTGTCGGTAGGCAAAATAGGATCACCATAAAGTAACAGTTTGTAAAGACAAATTGCCAAGAGTATTAGATTGGTAAACCAAAGAACAACATTGCTCCACGGTTGCTTATCCGATTCTAGTTGATCTGCAAATAAAAAGAAATAGTGTATTAACTATTAAAAAATATAAAGATTATGCGTTTCGCGGGTTTCTTCCGTGTCAAGATCCATTCTTGGAATGCCAACATTTCGTGAACTTTGCAGTTCACTGCATCAGCCTGATCAGGCTCCTGATGAAGTGAACTGCAAGGTTCATGAAAGTTAGCCTTCCAAAAATGGATCTGGATGCAGAAAAAACCCGCGAAACGCATAATCTTTATATAGAAAGGACCTGTCTCAAGAATATTATAAAAAAATATATCAAAATCGTTTTTGCAAATTGAAAAAAAAAAAACAAAGGGCATTTATTACCTAGATAATTGAGTATCGTTCGTCCATCCAGTTTCGTATTCACATAATCATAATTGAATCTTCCAATATTGTTCATAAGGATACCAAGATGATTGAATGCTAAAAATAATAGCATGAATCCGCACAATGTCAGTCGAATGTGATCTTTCATGCCTCCAATAGACGAAGTTGATACAAGGTGTAAATTGTGCAACGCATCTGGAACGTCCTTTACCGACGATGGGGATGGTGGTGACGGCGGCGCAGGTGCAGGTGACAAAGATGGTTCGCTCGAATCGGAGCGTGGAGGTGTCAACTCTCCACAGCTCTGGATTTGTTGGTACAAATCACGAAGATTGTGCCGTTGTGCAGACATTTTCAACGCCATATTTTCGGCCTTTAATTTTGCACCGTAATTCTGCAGATGCCTGTATTACACAAAACAAGAAATTCAAAAGCTATCCTTCTTGTTAATATATCGCGAGGTAAAATCTTATCATTCTTGCTTAATGTAGTCGATGTTTTTCGTAAAATTGCCGACTTGTTCAGCTTGGCGTCAATTCCGACTACAAAATTTTTCAATTCAATTATCTTATCATTGATCGATATCTTGTAACGACGCTCAATAGCATTGTGGGCACTGCGTTTCACTTCTCTCACTCTCGGTACACTCACATGTGTACCTGTGTTTAGACGATTAATTTGTACCTTGTCAGTGTCCAATACTACAGGTATCTCTTGAATCAAACAATATCATTAATTAGCATTAAATTAATGCATGCTATAAAATTACATTTACACTCTTATTTCGCATAATTATTCGTTAAAAATAAAAATAATTTTGTAGCTATAAGAATAAATCAAATACAATAAAATCCTTATATAAACTGTGGTTGTTAAGGCGATAAGATATAATTTGCAAACAATTGAAATATACTTAAAGTTAATTACACATGCACTGCACTTATAGTCAATTTTATTATTAAGTACATTCTAATTGTTTAGGATTATTATTATTTTAAGGATTTTAATTGTATAGACATTTTGCTTATATTTGATAATCATTCATATTTATATCTAAATAATATAAATCTCCATATAGCACAGATTTCAAGAAACATCTTCTATGTTGCAAGAACATTTCGAGGACATTCAGATAGAACTGTGTGAATATATAAATGTAATAATATTGAGAAACCTCTTCAAATTCTTAATTGTATTTACTTACCAGTAGTTAACACTGTTCCATTTGTAGTATTCACAAGAGTATGTATTTGATGTGGAACAGAAGTTGATGTGATGGTTTGTCCACCCTTTGAATACACGAGAGATTCTGACTTAATTAATTTGGCTGGAAGAAGTAGTTGTCGCTGTTGAGTAACAGGAGCTAAGGTTACAACGTTTGGCGACTGTACATTAAAATTCACATTTTGTGGTATAGTATACTGTGAGCTGAATACTGTAGGCTTTGTTGAAGCTACTATTCTCTGTGGTCTATTCTGTGGCACTGACGTAATGTCCTGCTGAATATAAGCAACAGGTGTAGTGCTATCAGTCTGTTGTGTCACCATAACATTTGATGGTTCAAGAATTGCTGGATCTTTGAAGTCTTTAAACTCATCATTATTGATACTTAAGAAGTTAAATGTGTCTCCATCAACTGGCATTGGCTCATCCAATTCGGAAAGTAAAGCCTCATCGCTGAAAAGCTCATTCTTCAGCAATTCATTCTCGCAATTCGTCAGAAGATCTGTAAATCAACAATTATATTTTATCAACAATAATAAAATATTGACACTAATATCTAATAAAATATTTGACATAAAAAAATATCAATTATAATCAAATATATTTTGATTATAATTTCTTCAACTATTTTTAATATAATTATTTAATATTATTAGAAAAACATGTAAATTAAAATAATTGTATGTAGCATATGATTTCATAGAGTAATAGAAATCATTATTAAGGCTCATCAATGTAAGATTAATCTTGATTCAATTGTTATCTTTTTTAATTCTTAGAATGTTAAATTTTAAGTTTAATTCTTAGAATATTAATGTGGAATATTTTATCATTATTGATATTATTATTGACATCATTATTGATATATAATACAATAATATATATTGATAGATAATTATAATAATTATTTACTTGCAGATTCTTAGAATTAAAAAAAGATAAAATATAGATCAATCTTATATTGGTGGAAGTGGAATCGAGTTTAAATAATCAATATGATATGTTTATGTTTATGTCACTTCCAAATGCATAGCAACAATCAAAACAGGTAAGAGATTAAACAATCTTATCTCCTCAACAATGAAGTAAGGTAGGATGTGTTTTTTAATTATCAATTAATAAATTGCATTGTGCGCAAATGTATTTTGTTCCATAAAAGTGTATTTGTAAATAATGTGACTGATCAATCAATGAATTAAAAAAACTAGCCCATAATACCTGATAAAATATGTTAGCTTCTCGAAATACGCGCGAATACGTTGGAGGAAAGAGATAGAGAAAGTAAAAGAAAGGACGCGATACACATTTTGAAAAAAGCGGAGCGCAAGACCTACCATCGATGCCAGTGACTTCGTTCAAATTGAAACTGTCATTCGATTGAAAATTGGGAAAGTCATTCTCCTGAGCTGATGCCCAGCCGCTCGAATCTGCCATTGCCGTTGTCGACCTCAAACTTTCGCGATCACGCTGAAGAAAAGCTCACGAGCCGTTGATTTTGCGGAACGATCACACGATATGTCAAAACGCAGTAGACGGAAAATTATAAACGATCGTACGACCCTCGTGCGACCAATCCGGACTGTCGCTGCTGATCAGACGATGTTGCGTCATCGACGCGAGTTCCTAAACTCACCTAAACTTCACAGATATTCACGACTCCGTTCGAGTCCGTTCGAAAAAATCCTTGACGCTGGTTTGTTCGGAAAAAAAACAATGCCGCTATGCCGGAAACGTGCCGCGTTACCAATGATCGCGGAAAAAATATTACTAGAATATTACTAGATACGTAATCAAGGACTTTTGGGTCTCAGAAATTTCTAGTAATGATTTCTAAAGCCTTTATTTGGCGGCAATCACTCTTATTTCGGTCTTAACCACTTTTAACATTCCCTCCATTTCAACCGTTGATTTTAATCGAATAACACGTGCGATTATTTTCGTTCATTTATTTTAAGTGATTAAGAAACACATAGTGTCTCGCATTAAAAGGAAGCATAGTATCAAAGTGCGAAATTAGCTGTCTTCATAGATACAATTTGGCTCAAAGCAATCGTTGATTCTCGTAAAAGACGATACAAAAATGAATATATCTTCTCAAGATAATTCAAATTCGATTGATTCCAGTTGCTATTCAACTTCTCTAATAGGTAAATTTATTATTTTAGTTTCATTTTTTCTAAATTGTACCAATACATTGCGATGCATTATTTATATTTACATAACTCTTATTTATATACTACATGTATATACTATATGTATATTTTTTATTTATATGCTGATGTCCACAAAGATCAAGATTAAAGATGAGTCTATAATATTCTAATCATTACGATTTTCTCAAAATTAAAGAGAAAGATATACCTTTCTTGCTATATACTAACTTTAATTATAAGATTATAAGGCCTGTTCTTTTTGGCTGAACTTTTGCATCAGTTCATCTTTCTTCTTTTTTTTCTTCTTAAAAAAGAAGAAAGATAAACTGGTAAAAATTCAGTTAAAAAAACAGGTCTATAAATTAAGACATACAATACATTTTTGTCATTTTCAACAAGAGAATATTTGTTCTTTTTGAAAATTATTTTATTTTTATTTTTATTAATTTCAGTCTTAAAAGTATATATCTTTCTCTTTTGTAAAATTTTAATAAAATTGTTTTGTTTAAGATCTGCAGTCATGATCAAATTTATAGTGTGTCAGTAAAGTTGAATAGATGAAAAAAGTTTATATGAACTTTGTTCAAAAATATTTTATTAAAAAGTTATAAACATTCAAATATTTATAAAATATTTATAGAATGCATTCACTATTATTTTTAGTACAGTAGGAATATTCAAATAAGTTTGACATATAAGTCTATTCTTTAAGAAGAATTTTTATAGGTCAACTAAGCAGAATTTTAAGATTTGTAACATTCTCACAAATTAAGAATTTACAACTAATATTTTTATTTTATGAATATGTATCATAAGACGTACTATTATTCGTAAATATCTATGATTTTTTATAAATTTTGGGCTAATAAGAAGCTATCTGTAAAAATATTGTATGAAGATATAAGCTTAAAAAATGTTTAATTTTACATTATGTTGTAAGCCTTACGATTTTATTTAGAATTTATACATTAATTGTTAAATTTAAGAAATAGCAATAAATGTGTTCTATATAAGTTTGCAT